TGCCCGCACACTTGCGCACTGCGCTGGTGCCCAGCGGCAGGGGCTCACAGGCCCGGTCCCAGGCAGCAGGGCTCTGGTTTTCTCTTTCCATTTAGGTAAATAAAAATCTGGATGAATGCATGGCTGGCTGGCTGGCTTTCCCTCCCCTTCCTCCTCCTCCTCCCTCCTTCTCTCCTCCCTTCCTTTCTGTTTTCCCTGCCAGTGCTGTGGTCTGGAAGCAGTGTGATAACGCAACTGTCACCAGATGGTCCCAGAGATTTTCATCTGTTTCCGAGCTCGAGTGCTGGGACAGCTGCCGGGCGTGTTTTTTGTTTCTGTTCTGGGACCTTGAGATCCTGCGCTTTGTGGAGGTGGAGCCCAGGGACAGCACCAGGGCCGGGTTCCTACCACCAGAAATCCAAGCACCCTGAGCCAGCCGCAGGGACCTGTTGGGGACAGCACTGTCTGCCCAGATCCCGCCAGCCCACTCAGGGTGCTCAGGGCCTACACACCGGATGCCTGGACTCCAGGACGCAGGCCAGTGCCATCCCTGTCCTCAGGCCCGATTTGTGAGTCCTGGCCCATTGGTGCACAGACGGCCGCAAGTGTGGTCACTGGTGTTCTGGGAGCTGCGCATCTGCCTCTGCCGAATGGGAGGGCGAGGCAGGCGGAACAGAGGTGAGGTGTGGCTGAGTCAGCTCATGGTCCCCGGCCGGGCTGCAAAGTCCCAGGCAGTGCGAGTAATGGTAGGGGACCTTTCCTACTGACCTTTCTTGGGGAGCAGCCACCACCAGCCCTGCCCCTCACGGTCGGGTGTCTTCTGAACTCCTCATGCAGGTTTCTCAGTGTCAGAACGCAGCCAGACCCCTGAGGGCCAGGGGAGCCAAGAGCAGGAAGCACATGGCCAGTGGAGGATGCCAGGGTCACCAGCATCCCACTCGAGTCCTCATGCTCTGAGGAGGCTGAGGCAGGAGGATCCCTAGTTCAAGGCCAGCCTGCAGAACTACATCGTGAGAGCCATCGAGATAGCTCCCTATCTAAGTGACTGCTTAGGCAAGCTCAGGGACCAGGGTTCGATCCCCTGCACCACATGCCACACTGGCCCTGCCCCCAGGCAAGCTGAGCCGGCCACTGAGACCTGACATGATGGCCTGTACCTGTAATCCCAGCACTGGGGAGGCCAAAAACAGGAGGATCTCCATGGGTCCAAGCTTCGGAATGAGACCTTTCATTTATGAGACCATAAATGAAAAAAAATAGGCCATGAGCCCCTTGGCCCTCATGACCGAGGGCCTCGCTGACCTGCGAAGGACAGAGCAAGCCCAAGCGGACGTCCTGTCTACCTCCATAACACCTCACAGCACTTTGCCAACCGCTGGCGTCCTCTGCATTCCACAGCTGACCCAGGCCCCGTCGCCCCGACAGACCACACAAGTGGCGGCTAAAGCCGGCCAAGGGCAGGCAGCTGGCTGTTTTGGGTTTTTTGGCAGAACTGGGGATTGAACTCAGGCCCTCGCGCTTGCCAGGCAAGTGCTTATTCTACTGAGCCATCTCCAGCCCACAGCTAGCTGTTCTGGCTCCTGGACCCGGCGTCTACAGCCCATGTCCCCGGCATGCTCCATCCTGAGCGTGCCTTCCGGTCCCCACGCCGTGCTGCTGCAGCAGGGCTGCCCTGCTGCCCCCATCACTTCCTGCACTGGTGGCTGGGCCTGCGGTGTGTCGGCTACCGGTCCCAGCCTCCTCTCAGGCCCTGGCAGTTTTCCCGAGCCTCTTCCTCACCAGACAGCTGGTGACTCCAGAAGACTAGGTCTGCTCCTGCCCCATCCCCAGTGGACAGGTGGGCTCCTGTTTTGTTAGCTTCTGAGAGAGGGTCTCTTGCTCTGTTGCCTGGGCTGGCCTCAAATTCAAGGTGATCCTCCTGCCTCAGCCTCCCGAGTGCTGAGATTACAAGTGTGTGCCACTCGGTCCAGCTTGGATTTAGGCATTATTTTTGCTTTTGCTTTGCTAGTTTTGAGACAGAGTCTCATTGTTGTGCCCAGGCTGATCTCAAAGTCTGGGCTCAAGCAATCCTCCTGCCTCAGCCTCCATGGTGCTTCAGGTAGCCACTGTGCCTAGCTCCATGCTGTTGTTTGGAGTTTTCCTCAGCACCTGAAACTTCACCTGTTTTTGAGTGGATGTGCCCCCAGGCCCTCTGCCTGCCATTTTTGGTGGGTCTGGTGTCCCTGACGGGCTGCTGTCCTGCCTGCTTCTCATTTCTCCCTGTGGGCGCCCTGCCTGGCCAGCACCCAACCCAGAGGGGCATTGGCTACATGCTTTCTGAGAAGCTCCTCATCCAGGGCTGTGCCTGGATGCAGGCGGCACCTGGGTTCTCCCAGCTAAGTTCTGTGTCTGGAGAGTGTGGGGCTCAGCCCTGTCCTGTGCCCCTCCCGTGACGTGGTCCGTGCCCCTGCACAGGTCAACAAGCATGCGTTCTCTGGAGGCCGCGACACTGTGGAGGAGCACCGGCAGTTCGGGGGCAACTGTGACGTGGATGTGTCCTTCATGTACCTGACCTTCTTCCTGGAGGACGACGACCGGCTGGAGCAGATCAGAAAGGTGAGCCGGACAAGTGACCAGGGGGCCCACGGGGCGCCGGGAGCCACGATCCTTGCCGCGCTGCGGCTCATGGCCTGGTGAGCTGCACGGGCTGACTCAGGCCCTAAGCACCTTCCCTGGGGTGTCCACGTGGCATCCAGGCAAGTAGAGCCCTGTGGCCTCTCGCTGAGCCGCTCCACCCTGGGACGCAGCCCGGAAAAGGCTCAGAACCTTGGCTCAGATTTTCCAAGTCTTGGAACCTTTTCCAAGGAAATCAAGCAATAACAGCGTCCCATTTAAAAACACTGGGAGAGGGCTGAGGAGATAGCTCGGTAGAGTAAGTGCTTGCCTGGCAGTTGCGAGGGCCTGAGTTCAATCCCTGCTTCTGCCAAAACATAAATACATACGTACATACGTACATACATACACTGGGAGAGACTGAGTGCGATAGCACATGCCTATAACCCCAGCACTTAGGAGGCTGTAAACAGGAGGATCGCTACGAGTCCGATCTAGTAGTGAGACCCTAAACACCCTGTAGACCCTTCCCTAAAATACAAAACATTAAAAATACAAAATGAAAATAAAAATACTGGAGTAGCTAACAGACTGTGCTTTGGAAGTGTGAGACAAGAAGGTGTTGCAGGTGAGGGTCACGCGGGGCTGAGCCGCTTAAGAGTTTTCAGCCAGATGTGGCAACGTGCACCTGTAATCCCAACCCTCAGGAGGCTGAGGCAGGAGGATGAGAGCTGAAGGCCGTGAGCATTCAGCTTGACTGCTCCAAAGCGCAGAGTAGAAAGGGCTGCATGCCCAGCTCGCGGGAGGAGCACGGACCGGCACGCAAAGGCCCTGTGCTCAGCCCCTGCAGCAGCGTAGGGGAGGAAAACGGAGTGCTAGCAGTGCCCTGCACGAGAACTGGAGCCCGGCCAGGCCCGGGGGTGGGGGGCGCGCCTGCCATCCCAGCACTGGGCAGGCCGAGACAGGAGGATCTCTGCTGGTTCAAGACCAGCCTGGGCTGCGTAATAAGACCATGTCTCAAAGAGACAAAAACAATAATAAAAATCTTACAGGTGGATTATTATGCAAAACTTTCTTTTTTTTTTTCTTTCTTTTTTTCTTTCTGAACCGGGGATTGAACTCAGGCCCTTGCACTTGCCAGGGAAGCACTTATTCCACTGGGCCATCTCCCCAGCCCCCTAAAACCCTATTTTTGAATAAAATAATGATCACATCATTAAATAGATACCACTAAAGCTCTGTTGCGCAGAACTGCCAGTAGCTTGCTCTTGCACAGCACCCCGCCACATCGGTTGCCGGGAATGGTGGAGGCGGCTGTGCCTGCGGCGGCGTGGGGACAGCCTCCCTCAAGCTTAAGCATGCGCGCTGTGTTCGCTGTCAGGCGGGAGCAGTGGGGTTGGGTAGCAGCCAGTCAGGCTAAGCAGCCCAGGCCGCGCGGAGCAGAGGGGGGCAGGCACCACAACCTGCTGTCCCTCTAACCAGCCGCAGCTCCCAGTATTGGGGAGAGCAGGGCGGGACCCTGTCACAGTCCTTGGTCCGCCCTTCCTTTCGGCAGGACTACACCAGCGGGGCCATGCTGACAGGCGAGCTCAAGAAGACGCTCATCGAGGTCCTGCAGCCCCTGATCGCCGAGCACCAGGCCCGGCGCAAGGAGGTCACCGACGAGATGGTGAAGGAGTTCATGACCCCCCGGAAGCTGTCCTTCCACTTTCAGTAGCGCACGTCCCCTGGGCGCCCATGACACTGAACTCATCAGTAATCCTGCGCGGCCTGATTGCTCCTCCCCCAAGCTTCGCCCCATGGGAATTCCTGGGTAATTCCTGGTGTCTGCCGGCCCTGCATGTGTTCTGGATCCCTCCTTCCTGTGACATCTGTCTCCTGTCACTGTGAGTAATCTGGTACTGGCTCACATTACGTGGTCAGATAGGAAGCCCAGCAAGAGGCCTGCCACATGGAGCCCAGGTCCCTGGCCAGCCTGTGCCACCCTGGAGAGAGCTGCCAGGGTTTTCAGTGTACCCCAAGATTGCTCCACAAGAAACTGATGTGTACAGATCACAATGTCATTATTCTAAAACAAAAAAGTGCAGTGGGAAGTGGATGTGAGAAAGCCTCTTGGCGCAGGATGTTTGCGCCCACGTCCCCCAGAGGGAGCTGACCACTGAACTTCAATGCGCACTTGACCAAGGCTGTCTGGGCTGTGGCTATGTGCTGGCACAGCCGCCGTGCCTGTGTGGGTGCTGGGCACAGCCTGGCGCCCCAGCTTCCCAGCTGCCAGCAGTTTCCGACTTGGTGCACCTCGGACTGCACGCATCGTCCGCTCCAGCAGCCAGCTCCTGCGCATAACTGCAGGTGACCCGGCGCGCCATCGGCAGAAGCGGAGGGAACGTTCTCCACAGGAGACACTGAAGCAGGCTGTTACCTTTGCAGATGGTTTTTTGATGCTTGACCATATCAGAAGTCCGCGCGACAGTGGCCGGCCGTGCCAAGCTGGTGGACCCAGCTAGGGACCTGTGGGCAGCCGAGCCCTCCACATGGGGACTCGGCAGGGAGGGCCTGGGTGCAAATCTGTCCTTGGACAAGGTCCAGGCTGCAATGCCTGCCTCCTGCACTCCTCGGCTAATAAATTCCCTTCACTCCTGTGCATGTCGTGCTCTGCTTGGGGGCCAGGCCAGGCTGCACCTGCGGCTGAGAGCTACAGCTGGGTCCTGAGCTCCGTAGGGTGGCATTTGGGGAAGGAAGGTCCACTTTGGGGACCTGTGGCGCTGAGCACCAGCCCAGGAACCAGGCCCAGCTTCGCTCTGCGTCGGAACCGGCTCCCAGTGCCGCTTTGCCTTGGCCCGTTTGCTGCTGCTGCTGGAGAGCACACCACACGGAGCAGCCTGATGGGGGGCAGGGCGGCACAGGGTGTGGGGAAACAGGCTCTGAGGAACAAGGCTATCCAAGGCCATGTGGGGCCCTTCCTACAACACCACTACCTCAGACCAGTGTCGCCCCAGGGCCAGAACGGGGGTCACCGGAGGGGAGCTCACGACCTTTCTATCAGCTTGGACTCAAACAGGGTCCCTAGGCCTTGGGACTTGGACCAGGAGAACCCAATGCAGTGCTCCGGGGAAGGCAGGGAGTATGGGAGTAGGACACGAAGCTCCTCTCTAGGGCAGCAGTCATAGGGCCTCCACTGTGTCCTGAGTCTCTAGGCTGCAGTGGGACCATGTCCCACCCCCCTTGTAGCCAGCACCCCATCGTGAAAGTCTCACCAGATTACGCATATTCATCCACTTTCACTTTCATCCATCCCCACCTTGAAGTCACCACCTTTGGGCACAGCCGAGGACACCTTCTGGCATGGGGTGTAAGGCCAGGGGTGACAGCAGGCTGGGGAGTGGCTGCCCTTGGTCTCTGCCAGAGCTCTGAAGGACATTTGGTTCACAGGCGTCCAACCAGTGGGCTCCCCATGGGGCCACACCCCACCCGTCGGCCCTGCCCTCGTGGGCTGTGTGTGTCCCTGGTTAACTCCAGCACAAGGCTACTGCATACCTGTGTGAGGTGCCCCGCCTGCAACCCCACTGTGGGGAAGTTGAGCCAGAGCTACTGCAAGGGGCAGGCTGGAACCAGGTCTCTGTGCCCATCTGTGGAGGGCACACTGGCACAGGTGGGAGGGCTCACCATTGGGAGGAGCTGCCAGGCTGTGCCCTCCTCCTGCAATGGGCTACAGGCTTCTTACGACATGGGGGGGGATGGGTCACTGCCCATGGACCGCGCACAACACCGCCAAGCATCCTGAAAAGTTTATTGACCATGGCTCTCCCTGTCCCCGCAGACATTTGTGTGGCGGGACAGTGGTGCTGTGTGCCAAGCAAGGGTGTCGGCCCCAGCCCTGGAGGGTATGACCATCTGTCCCACAGGAGCCCAAACTATGGCAGAGACGTCAGCGGGGCCATCCCGTGGGCACAGCTACGGAGGGCCAGAGGCTGAGTGTGGGACGGTGGGGAGCAGGGATTAACAATGACGACCGTTCCACAGGACACTCACCCAGGAGACCGCTCTTGACCTGAGCCTCAGGCCGCCCCTGGTGGGGTGGTGAGCCCTTTGACTTCCTGTGCCAGAGCTAGCTGAGTTCCCAGCCGTCCTGAGTAAGGCCCTCTAGAGTCCCACCGTGGCTGCTGCGACCTGTGGAAGCCGCTGGGAGCGGCACTAAGTGGGCAGGGCGTGCCTGAGCCGCAGCACAGCCTCGTAGGCCACAAAGACCACCATGTTGACAGGGAAGGCGCGGCAGCAGTTTAGCCCCAGCCCCTTGAACAGCACCCTCGGGCCCTCCTCACGTACACTGCTCACCACGCAGTGCAGGAGGCCCCGGTAGCGCCGCAGGCCCTGCCCATCTGCCTGCAGCCGGGACTTGATCACATCCATGGGGGTGGCCACCGCCCAGGCCAGAACCCCCGCACAGCCGCCAGCCACGAGCACGCCTGCCACATCTGCAGGAGAGACAGCCAAGGGCTCACTTCACAGGTGGGGAAACCGGCTTCCTCATGGCGGTATTGCTAGTCCAGGGCAGGCCCGCAGCCCTGGGCCCCCAGGTACCAGGGTGCAGCTGAACTAACTCACCACCCTCCACCCCAGCCCCACTGGACTGTGCTCTCTCACCTGGCTGGCTGTGGCCCACAGGTGTGAGCCACTCGCAGAGGATGGCATAGGAGAGGAAGTAGGTGGCGAAGGAGTGGCCCTCCCGTAAGAGCAGGGCAGAGCTGCCCTTGTAAAGGCCCCGAAGCCCTTCCTCTCGGGCCACAGTGGCCAGGCAGTGCAGCGGCCCGCGGTACTTGGGCCTGTGATCAGGAGACACGGGGGGCACAGGACACATAGGCAGGGTGGCCGTGAGCCCCGAGGCAGAGGGGCGGCGCGTCTGCATCCGGCTCTGGGCCTGGCTCTGGGTCTGGGTCTGCAGGCGCACCTTGGCCACTTCAGTGGGCGATGTCAGGAACACCTGCATTGGCAGAAGGAGGCTCCAGTGCTCTGTCCTGGAGCCCAGCCCCTCGGAGCAGAGTGGGGAGCAGGGCCCCAGGCTGCTCCATCCACCCAGGACCGAGGCACCAGCAGTAACACACACATCTGGCGCCAGCTGCGGCACCCTGCCCCCTGCTGCCTCTGTGGATCCTGCCTGCCCCACAGCTGAGGGGACAGAAACTCCGAGGCCCAGTACCTTGGGTCATGTGATGAACAGGACAGAGCCCACCCCACTGTCACCTGTCACCCTCTGCCATTTGCGGGTCGCATGGTCACTTGCTTCCCACACAGCTCATGGCCCCAGCTGGGGGTGCCTGTGTGCCAAGGACAGCCCTGGCCCCACCGTCTGCGTGGTAGGCCAGCTGTGGGCCCCTAAAGAACAAGGAGGTCCGGTGGCCAGGTTGATGTGGCAGCCCTGCTGGCCAGCCCTACATGACTTCTGCCTGCTGGCCTGGAGGGCCCCTTTGGTCCTCTCCACAGGACCAAGAGGCTGGGACAGCAGTGATCCCACCACTGCCTGCTGCAAAGGGACCTGGCTGGCTGGCAAGAGGACCCCAGCGCCCACCCAGCGGCACCCCTTGTGCCCCACCAGCCCTCCCCTATGCCCACTCACACGCACGAGGCCGGAGGCGCATCCTGACAGCGTGATGTCCACCTTGGCAGGCTTGGCGTCTGCGCTGCCGTACCGGAAGTGGCAGATGTGTGCCAGGCAGTGGCGGTAGGTGCCGAAGGACACAGAGGAGACCAGCGACACGGTGCACACCGGCAGTGAGAGGCCACGGTAGAAGCCCCGCACCTGGGACACGGGGCCGGGTGAGTGGGCCAGCTGCGCTGCCTCCCACCAGTCACCTACTGCTGCTACTGCCTCAGCTTCCCCCATCTGCCAAGTGCTGGTGGGGGGCTGCAGCGGCAGAGGTCAGGCTCAACCAAGACCGCCCCGATGGTATCCTGAGCCAGGTGTTCCATTACTGCAGGGGCGTTTGGGGGTTAGTTGCTTTATTTTTTACTGATTGATTGATTGATTGATTAGGGTTTTGTTTTTTGTTTTTGTTTTGTTTTGTTTTTTGTATGGAGACACGGTGTCGATATGCAGCCCATCTGGCCTCAGACTCACACTGATCCTCGCTCTGTTTCCTCCCAAGTGCTGCAGTTACAAGCGTGCGCCACCACACCCAACTGCATCCTTATTTTTCTTGACTTAACTGAGCCCTGGCCTGCGTGGTGCCCCCTCCATCAATGTATCAGGCCCCACCTGCCCAGAGGGAGAGCCCTGCAGTGACCTCAGGAAACCGTCCAGCTCCTCCACCAGAGGAGGGCTGGAAGGACAGGGACTCTGCTGCGGCAGGGCCCTGCCTGTGAGCCCCGGCGCTGGCACGGAGGAGCCCACTGCCCCCACCCGGCCCGGCCTACCCGCTCCCGGCGGTAAGTATCCCGGATGCAGTGCCAAAGGCCTGTGTACTTGGGCTCCGTCTGGATCCTGACCTGGGGAGACAGAGGGTTCAGGAGGGGCCCGGGCAGGACCCCCCACGCTGGGCTGTCATGGGCCTGTGGGTCGTGGGCAGTGCAGGGACAGTGGGCTGTTTTAGGGGAGACCAAGGCACAGGGTAAGGGCAAGTGGCAGCTGGGTCCCGAGGCCCTGGGGAGCCCCAGAGGCACCAACGTGGGTCCGCACACACCTTCACCGTGTCCAGGGGGTAGCCCACCACCACGCCGCAGATGCCTGCAAGGAGGGGGCCTAGGTGAGCCTGCAGGAGCCCAATCCAGCTCCCAGGACCCTCCAACCACACCATCCCAGTACTCCGTCCTGCGTCCTGCACAGCAGGGCCCTGCCCCACTATCCCGTGCCACAGGTGAGCCACGCAGCCTTATTGGCAGCCACTGTGGTGAGCTACCTGTCCCTTACTGAGGGCCTCAGAGCCCGGCCCACTTGACCCCGGGGCCTGCTTAGGCCAGGTCCCCTGAAGGGTGGATGCCAAGAGCAAGCCAGGGACCCAGCCCACACTGGAATAGAGTGGGCACTGCCCTGTGTCCCAGAGGCCTTGGTCCCACTGAGGCACTTGCAGAGGCCCAGGAGGGACCCTAGGGGATCCTCACAGGGGACTTTGGGGCCCTGGTCCCTTTCACCTCCAGGCCCTCTGACCAGAGCACTGCAGCAACATTCCACCTGCCCCGCTGAGCCCCCCGCTGCAGTGCTGCAAACCCCTGTCCTTTTTGGATACTGTCGGAAGCATACTCTATAGAGACAAGCTGTTGCAGATGCACATTGTGGCTGTGCTGTCCCTACAGTGTGTCCCAGCACCCAGTGACAATAAAGGAGCTAGAAGTGAAATTGAGCAAAGGGCTACTTGGTAGTTGGGTAGTGACCTTCCTTGAACCTGAAAAACACCTCACTGAACTTCTGCTCATCCATCAAAGCCCTGCATACACCACACATCACCTCTTTGGGAGCCCTCCCTGCCTCCCTGTGCCCACAGACATGTTGACAGAGCTGTCACACAGCCTTGCTGCCATGATCCCAATCACCTTCACCTGCAGAGCTACCAGATTTCCAAGAAGGCAAAGCCCACATCTGTGTCTTGGTCCCCAAGGCCAGTCCCAGAGTGGGATTTTGATCCCACCTTGCAAGTCAAGCCCGAACCCTTCCTGGCCTGGGGCTCCTCCCCAACGGTCGCAGTGGGCCCAGGCTGAGCAGGTCACTGTTCCCAGAAGCCTTGAGGTCGCCCACTGCAGTTTCACAAGACCAGTGAGGCTCAGAATAGCTCCAGCCGGTCGATGGTGGGGAGGAGCAGAGCTGACCTCATCCTGTGTCCCCAGGGACAGTCACACCCCCCCAGACACACACACCCCAGGGTTTTGCAAGTGACGTGGCCAAGTGGGAGGGCCCCATAGCCCCCAGCAGGGTCTGACCCAGTCTCCTGGGGTCTCCCGCCCTCCTGTCATGGAAAACGACCTCCCCACAGGAGGACACTTCAGATTCTTAGGTGCCCAGATAGTACTCCCGCCCAGGTCTGGTTGTTCCTGTCTCCCAGAAACCGCTGGTCACTGCAGTGCACACTGTAGGAACCAATCCCCACCTGACAAGCCCTTCTGGGGACTTGACTCAGCAGCCAGCCCCAGCGCCTGCCTGACAGGCCTCCTGCTGGCTTCTCCCATATGAGCCCCAGACCTCCTGAGGTCGGACCCTAAGATCAGGAGTGCCTTTGATGGCATAAAGTCCTGGGTGAGTGTTCGGCATTTCTGCTGCCCCTGCACCCCATAGCACCCCATCCTCCCCCGAGGGCATAGCTGCCCCTGCCTGCACCATCCCTGTCTCTGTCAGGGGCTGGTCTCAGGCTCCTGTCTGGGGCCCAGCAGGGCAGGCCCCATGCTTCCCCTCAAGCCCCATGTCCCCATGAGGCACCCAGGAGCCTGGGCCCAGGGTCCGCGTCCAGCCCCAACCCCTCCCAAGGGTCCTCGAGTCCCACTGCTGCCCAGGCCCAGCACCACCCCCACCCAGCTCCTGCTACCTCCGATGGCTCCAGCCACAAAATCCATGGACAGCACGGGGCCAGCACCTGCTCACTGCCTGTGTGGTGGCCTCCTCCAGACCTTAAATTAAATACCTGTGGGAGGGAGGGGAGTGGCTGATGCCCACACCCACGCTTTCTAGCCAGCCTTGGAACCTTTGTCCCACTGCCCTCAGGACCCAGGTGTCAGGAAGGTGTCCGAGAGGCTACAGGAGGGGGCAAGACCTCTGAGTCCCAGGCACATGCGGGTGGCTCCTGGGAGGCCTGGGAACAGGGCCAGACAGCTTGGTCTGTCCAGGATCCCTTGGCTCTGCCTCAACTCCCACTGTGGAACCTCCAAGCTCCCTGGCTTATTAACTCAGCAAACTTTTCTTTTGAGACAGGGTCTCACTGTATGGTTCAGGTTGGCCATGAACTCTGTGTGGCTCAAGCTGGCCTTGAAATCATGGATTACAGGTGTGCGCCACCGTGCCCAGATTCCACAGACATTATCTGAACTAGGGCTGCCACCAGTATAAAAGACTTAGCCCTGTCTCTGAGGGGATCAGGGGAGGAGAGGGGGTGATATCCCTGGGAGCCCTCAGGGAAGGACCACCCCACTCCGCAGCCCTGGACAGAGCCAGGGTGACGCAGGGCCTTGCAGCTGAGTGCAGGAGCCCAGAAGGTGCTGCCAGCCACAGAGGGGTCGTGCAGGTGGCGCTGAGGACTGCAACCTGCTGGCCTCGAGGCCGGGCAGGAGGCCAGGCGTCCTCCTGTTTACGTGTCCAAGACTGTGGTGGCCTTGAGCACCTGGGCAGGAAGGGAATCCAGGTCCAGCCAGTCATGGGCAGCACAGCAGCCACATCAGAGGGCAAAGAGCAGGGACAGGAGGTGCCAGTGAGCCAGCCCCAGTGCCCATCCAGCGTGAGGAACAGGCTGGGGTCTGGTTAGGAGCCTGGCTGCCAGCTCAGATCCTGCTCTGGGCTGGCTCGGGGCAGGGCAGGAGGCCAGGTATACCGTGTAGGTGTCAGGTGAGTTGAGTAGCAGAGGGCCTGGTGCACACCTGTCATCCCAGCGCTCTGGGAGGCTGAGGCATGAAGATGGAAAGCTCAAGCCCTAGCTGAGCAATCTGGCTTCCACCCCCGTGCTGCAGCACAGGAGAGTGACCTCCTACCTGTGGTCGCTGCCCAGGGCTGGCCTGCCCTGCTATCTGGGGCCACAAGCTTTGGCTGCACCCACGGAGGCCAAGGGGCAGACCAGGTCCTGTCACCTGCAATGCTGGGAGGGAGGCGGGCAGCAAGCAGTAAACAGTGCAGGGGCAGAGCTGGAGCAGCTGCTGGGGCTAGGTCCTCATCCCGCAGCAGGGTTCAGTGGCCTCAGGGCATGGTCTGTGGCTTCCAGCCGGAAGGGCAGAGGGCAGCATGCCACGTGTGCCCAGGCAGACGTGAGGAGGCTGGGGTGGGTGGGCTGGATGGAGGAGAGGACATGGGCACGAAGACCAGGAAAGGAGCAAGATGGGTGGGTGGAGGGCAGGTGAGGAAGAAAGGGGCAGAGGGCTAGAAGCCACACGCGTACCAGGAAGGTCCATCAGCCATGGCCACCTTCCCGCCGTGTGTCGCCCTGGGGACCAGGACATCACAGCAGGCAGAGGCCTCTGCCAGGGGATCCTCAGGTGGCTCTGGCTCTCCCCGCTGTGTGACCTGGGGCCAGGGGCCTGATCTCTCTGAATCTGATTCTCCCTGCAGGCTCAGATGTGGTGGCAAGAGATGGGGCTCAGGGGTGCTGCCGGGGCAAGGCCACGCAGGCCCCTTCAGCTGTCTCCACTGCTGTCTCCACTACTGTCGGGGCCACTGTGGCAGCTTGTAGAGCTAGGACGAGGCCTGGAGGGGTGACAGACACTCCCCACACCAGGCCACTACTGGGGCCTTAGAGCCAGTGCTGCAATGGGCCCTGGGGAGCTCAGCACACAGCACCATTAGGGTCCCACTTTGCCACCGAGGTACTGGGGCTTGGTCCTGGTTTAACAACAGAAGTGCTTCTCTCCCTACTAACTGAGTTGAAAAAAAAGATGTGGGTTTTATACAGTGGAATACTATTCTGCCATAAAGAAAGATATCTTAGACATTTCTGGGTAAATGGATGCAGTTTAAGTCCATACTCTTAAGTGAAATAAATCTGACACACCTGTGAAAATACCAATCATCTCTCTGGTGTGAGAAATCTGAAAGTGTAAATAAGGACCAAAATGTGTGCTAGACATCAGAGGATGGGAAGGAAATGCTCAAATGGGAAAGGGAACTAGAAAGCAGAGGAGAGAAAAGAAGGAAAGTTGGAAGCAAAACTTTGTAAATAAGGACGGGAAGAAGGCCTGCAGGGAGGGCAGGGAGGGGAAGAACCGACTGCATCGCCAGCAAGCCCACACTCCCTGCAGCGAATGCGGCTGTCAGGTACCCCGAAAGTGTATGAATAAGCTTAATTTAAAAAAAAAAATTCAGGGCTGGTGAGATGGCTCAGTGGTCTAAAGCACCTACTTAGAACAAGCTAAACTAAGCAAAGCACAGGGACTGCGGTTCAATCCCCCAGCACCACATGCCAGCCAGCCCTGCCCCCTGGTGGGCTGAGCTGGCCACACACACACTAAATAAAATAAACTTTAAAAAAAAAAAATTGACTTTAAAAAAAAATTCATTTAAAAAGAAAAATAGAGCTGGCCAAATAGCTCAGTGGATTAAAGTGCCTGCAAGCAGGTTCAGGGGCTGGGGGTTCATTCCCCGGGCATGTGTCGCATGCCTGCAATCCCAGCTCTTGGGAGGCTTACAGGCGGGTCCCTAGGAGTCCAATGTAGTAGTGAGGCCCTGCACACCCCAAGACCCATCCCTAAAAATTTTTTTAAAAATTATAAAAGAAAGGAAGAGAGAAAGAAAGAGAAAAAGAAAAAGTGCTGCTCTAAACTGGGCCTAGTGCTGCTCGCCCAGAATCCCAGCACTCAGGAGGCTGAAGCAGGAGGATCGCTGGGAGTTCAAAGCCAATGCAGGCTAGTAGCGGAAAAAAAAAAAAAAAAAAAGACCCCTCTGCACTGGCAAACACTCTGGCGTCTTCCACTTGGGGGGAGCCCATCTTGGAAGGGACCTGGTGAGGTCACACATCCATTTTAAGTTTATTTTTCCTAGGGGCCAGGGAGATGGTGCAGTAGAGTAAGTGCTTCCCTGGCAAGCTCAAGGGCCTGAGTTGAATTCCCGGTTCCGCAAAAGAAAAAAAAAAAAAAAAAAGTGAGAATAAATTTATTTTTCCCAGACAAGTCAGAAATTCATGTTATCATCTAGAAATGGCTTTGTTTTCAGAAATAGAGAGTGAGGAGGGGCCAGGGAAACAGTTCAGCCAGCCTAAGTGCCTGCGGTCCTGAGTTGGACCCCTGGTACAAAAAAAGAATCAACACTAGAGACCCGTCTTCACCTCCATGAGGACGGCAGCCCCGCACCCTCAGCCTGGCAGGGCTGGCAGTGCCCCCGGCTGGTGCCAAGGGTGCCCTCACCCACCTTGGACAGCGGGCATCATTGGGCACACGGGTGCACGGGACGAGTGCCCACCAGGACCCGGCCTCCCAGGCCCAGAGGAGGACAAGGCCTCAGAGAGGAGAACCCAGGGAGGCCCCGGACCAGAAGCGTGACTCTGCCCCGCACCACACTGCAGCCGTGGGCCCACCCCATGCCTCGGTTTCCCTATTGGCCAACGGCCACAGCTACTTTGTGGCAGGGTCAGCGACGTAAGGGCACTTCCCTGGAGCTGGGCAGCAGAGAGGCAGAACTGGACCTCGGACCCCGCGATCCGGACCTGCCCCCACCCGGTCTCACCCCAGGCCCCTCAGCCTGTCCAGCTGCTCCTCATGGCGCCCCCTGCTGGCCATTTCCAGCTCCCCTCTCTGAAACACTGGGCCTAGCAACACAGCCCTGCCATCCCAGCTGCTCAGAAGGCTGAGGCAGGAGGTCTGTAAGTTCAAGGCCACCCAGGCCACTCATTGAGACCCTGCCAGAGCCAGGGAAATAGCTCAGGAGAATAAGTGCTTGCCTAGCAAGCGCAAGGGCCTGAGTTCAATCCCTGGCTCAGGAAAAAAAAAAAGAAAAAGAGAGCCAGCCCTGCTTTCTCACAATAAAAGGGGCTGGTTGGTGCAGCTCCATTGTAGGAGCTCGTCTAGCATGGGTGAGTCCACCCCCAGCACTAAAAATCCAAGCAAACCAACCTTACTCCATTTGGGATTCCTGGAAAGAGAGTTAGCTTTTCTGCCTCAGGGACAACAGCAGCAGCCACTGCAGGGCGATGGGGCTGTTCACTCCCTGCAGTAATCATCCTGTCCTACTGTCCAGACACAAATGCCACTGCCCCACAGGCCCAGCAGCAGGAGGACAGTAAGGAAAGGGGCAGCTGTACAGTGGGACCACAGGCAGAGCCCCACACGGCCCATCCACCGCCCAGGACAATGCAGAGGGAAGGCAGAGCTGGCACCTACCCCAGCCAGCAGGCTCTGGAGCTTCGGCCCCACCCCAGTTCCCTGATGCTGCCCAAGGTCTCCTGCATTTCTCTGTGCCAGCTGCCTCCTGCCCAGCCTGGTGCCAACTCCAGCTCACGGGGTCCCGCATAACCTAGGCCAGGCTGCTACAGTGGGGCGGCCGGCACTGACCAGAGGCTGGGGACAGCTGAGGCGCAGAGGCCAGGGGCCTGACTCTGTCCCAGCCCTGCACCTTCTGGTTCCACTGAGGCTGCCCTGAGCCTTGGCTCCGTGTCTCTGAGAAGCAGCCCTTTCTACACAGCCACCTGGGGCCTGGGGGTCCAGTCCGCTCCTAACCTGGCTGGAGCCCCCTTCTGACCATCCAGTGGATCCCAACTCTGCGCGACACCCTCAGCTCTTTGTTATTTGAGATAAGGCCGTGCTGAATGTATAAATTGTACAGACTGGGCTGGAACTGACAACCCTCCTGCCGCAGCCCCTGGAATGTTGGGACCACAGGGGTGTGTCACCTCACTGGGTCATTCCTGGCATCTGAGGGCACTAGGTGGGCCCAGCCACAGCCTGGTGGATAGGAAGCCAGCCCCTCA